CTTTAAAGGGCTAATTAATAACTGCTTTTTCAAATGGCTAATTAGTGGTTCAGCTTCTCGTTGTGTTGTCGTCTGTTAGGATCAAAACACTTGATGTGTTTGGAAGTCTCAGATTAGTTTTTTGGCCATCAGAAATTAAGTAAAATGAGGTTCCTGTGTGAAAAATCTAATTTTTGTTTGATCAGAATCCATTCAGCTGTGATACAGAAGGCTAAACTCACTCATTGGGGGAAACTCCCACCAATCCCCGGAGAATTCTCCAAGAACTCAAAAAATCTGGTTATAAACCTGGGGAAAAAACCCTCCCTCTGCTCCTCCCTGCTGAGTTCTCCCCCCCCCCCCCAGCCCCTTTTCCTCATAGCTGATCCAAACCCCTGACCACGCCAAGGTGGAATCGTATTTTCCATGATCGGGGGTCCTTATGAGCTGGCGCGCCACCAAAGACGCTCCTGGCCCCGAAACCACAAAGAAAAAACTGCACCAAACTGCATTATCGACTCACTGAGCTCAGCGATTCTCAGAAAAACAAACAAAAACACGTTTTCTTTCACGGTTTTGAGGACGACCTGCCTCAGATTTGGAGGTGAATCCGACGCATTGGATCAGGATGTTAGCATTTGGCTATAATTACTCACTTTAGCATTGTATGCTAACACATGATCTACGTAAATTACTTTTAGAACTATATTTTTGTGTTAAAGTCTCTCCTTTCTCTCTTTTTCTCTCTCTGTTGCATTAGATCCACCTTTAGGTCAACACACACACACACACACACACACACCATTTGTTAGCACATTCCTGTCATCTGCATGAATTAGGACCTGGCCTGTTCCTGCCCAGAGGTCAATAGCCAATAGGACTTGTTTATGTCCAGGGCTCTTTGCCAACCAGGGACGGATTAAGGTCCCCTCCCTATAGAACGAAGCGTTCTATTGGTCAGTTAGAACGCATCGTTTTATTGGTTAGTTAGAAAGCGTTATTTTTTTTTATTTTTTTAACCCTTGTGTGGTGTTCGGGTCTGTGGGACCCGTTTTAATTTTTTACTAAAAGAAAAATGATACAATGAATTAATTTTTTAAACTGAGACTCACTGGCTTTGGCTCATTTTCTGTCAAGAACATATATCAGAATTCATATCAGAATTTTTTTTTTTACAAACCGTGCTATTGTGGATTGTGAATAAATTGAAGCGGTTTGTCGCTTTACGTCTTTCCGGACAATCATAGCTAGCCTGGTCATTGCAAATTAAGCCACAAGGAGTAGCCAGAGTTCAACAAAAACTAGCAGAAATACTAGGTCCAGCACACGATCTCAAACCATGTCAATTAAAAAATGCAAAGAGACTTAAATTGTTGAAATTAAGCGCAACCATAAACACTGTCAATATGTCCAATGAAATGAACAACTTGCTAAGGTTTAGACGTGGCGGACTGGGAGAAAAAATTAGCTTGTCAGACAAGTTATGAAAGCTATAAAGCTACGAAATCTGACCTAAGATATAACGACACACACTACCGGACACGGTCAAAATCATATTTCTATAGACTTTATTGCTAACTAGTGCTGCCACGGCGGGCATTTGATAAAGAAAAACCATATTTTCCTACCTGAAATCATTGTGGCTGCGTTAAATCTTGCTAGTAGCTGTTTGATCCATTTGTCTTCTTGCATCTTCGACTGTAATTGTACGTTCATTACATTTTCTATTCACTATTTTTCTGCCATCTACACTTGGCACGGCAAGGAAGCATGCTATAACAGATGTAAACAAAAAAACGAATAAGTTACCGGTCGCGGTTTCGCGCCGGTGATCCAATAGAAAGCGTCGTTCTATTGGATCCGATAGAACGACGCGTTCTATTGGTCAGTTAGAACGCATCGTTTTATTGGTTAGTTAGAAAGCGTTTTTTTTTGTTTTTTTTTACCCTTGTGTGGTGTTCGGGTCTGTGGGACCTGTTTTAATTTTTTACTAAAAGAAAAATGATACAATGAATTAATTTTTCAAACTGAGACTCACTGGCTTTGGCTCATTTTCTGTCAAGAACATATATCAGAATTCATATTTAATGCCCACACACCCTACAACCCCCCCTACACATTTCTATTACATATAAGATGTCCGGGTCCACTGGACCCGGGGCTAAAAGAAGTGTGGAAATTAATGTTCTGTGAACCACACACACACACACACACATACACACACACACTCACAATGTTGCAACCTTGTGTGGGAACTGCAGGTGCACAAACACAAAATAAACATATTCGGCACATTGTTTTCTGCTCTAATTTTCTGTCTATCTGCAAAAAATTGGGGCCACACTGGCACAGCTTTGCTAGAGTGTTTTTCTTATAACCGATCAAAATGGCCGACAGGTTCTCTGCCCAGAGGGCCCTGGAA